GTATGTAGCTATCATGTGCGAGTAGCAGGTACTCAGGTAAAATTTATAAGATAATGTTCATGAATTACAATGTTGTAAGCACATATACAATTATCTCCGTAAACATGTGTATATTCCCTTTGGCCAAATGATGAGAACACACTCTGTGCGAATGTAAATCAGCCATAATGAGCGTGAAAGTGACAGAGGAAAGTGTTTTAACGGTTTAATTGTAAATTTAATAATTTATGTTATTTATATGCATTTCTTTGTAACCAGGTAGTATTAGGGAGGAACTAAATAATATTTACCTAAAAGTTTGTATAAAGGTGAATGCCAAGAGATGAACAGGACTACTTTAATAATACGGTACGATACGGTACGATCTTTTACACGTAATGAAAGAGAGCGAGATAATCTGAGAGTCAGCACCAGGAGTTGCTTACCACTGCTTAATTGTTATACTAACCTTCTTTAGTCGAAGGTAAGCGAAGGGATACGAAGGATCACTGAAAGAGAAACTCAGTAAACGAACCGTTTCGATAGAAAGCAGAATGTTACATGAGTTGGTTCGAGAGAATGAATGGCTATACAAAGACGGGTTAGTATCGGTCGGGACACATGTTGTGCCAATTATGAATATGCAGAAGCTTACTACAATGTCTAGAGCTCAATACGGCGAGTTTATGCTGCTTGTAGTTTCGCCAGTATACACTGTGGAGATAACTTCGTCGGAGCAGGATTTATAATGTTGCCATCCATTGCTTGTGTCACTTCTAACCGAGGTGGAATTTGGACGCAGTCTTTAAGCCTTATGCAGCAGACAAAATACTTCGGGATCCTATTAGACTTAATGTCGACACGGATATATTGAAGTGTAACGCTGCTGCTAAGTATTAAACTTCTTAGAACTAGCTAATGTGTGAATTGTGTTGGGTTGATACGGGATGATCCCTTTTGTAAAATAAAAGCGGTTTAGGATATTAACGCAACTCTTTATTTTTGTAAAAGTACATGCGATCCGAACAATCGAACTCGATTTCTTTTGCATAGCCACCACGCGCACGCTTTTAGACGTCCAGACGTTGAAGTCAATTTATGACGGTTTTCAAGCATAAATCAGCATAGATCATAGACTTGACGCAGCCGCGCCGAAAATAGTATAAGGGTGTCAAATCGGACGACTGAGGTGGCTACTGGGCTACATCGTGAGATAACACATTTATCAAACAATAAATTGATTGTAATATTCGTTGTGTCGCTTGTGGCACCGTCCTGATGAGACCACATATTGTCCAAGTATATATTATCCAATTCGGGCCAATAATATTCGGTTATAATTGAGCGGTAGTATAACGTGCCGTTCTTAATAAACATGGAAGAAGAAGGGCCCAATGACGCCGCAGGCCCATAAACCGCACCAAACCGTAATTTTTCGAGATGTAAGGGTGACTCATGGAGTACGTGTGGATTTACCAATAACGCATATTTTCTTATTGACGAAGTTATACAGCCAGAAATGAGAATCATCGCTGAAGATGATTTTTCAATGAAATTCCGAATTATTTTCAAGTTGTTGTTCAGCCCAATTAAGGAACATACTACGATTCTGGTGGCCAAGCAGCTTCAGTTCTTGTGTCAATTTGATCTAGTAAGGATGTATGCCAAGATCTTTAGATCTTTTCTCAAAATTTGCCACCACGACTTCACAGAGATGCTCAATGCTTGAGAACGACATGTGAGAGACTGATTTGGGTCTTCCTCACTTGATGCGCTAGCGACAACAATACTTCTTTGTCTTACTGGCATGGGAACATTTTGTACTGTGTCTGTAGTTTCAAAGTTTTCCACTTCGAATTTGGCTAGTAAATTTTAATAATTTCGACTCGTTGTTGGTTCGCATGTCTTTCCATGATAAAATGCCAAACATTACTGAAGAGAAATGTCAAAAGAGTGGGAAAATGTGGCGTCGTTTACTGTTCCTCTTGGTCTACTTTTGTAGCATCCCTATTGCATAACGTTTTAGTTAACAAAGTGACTTTTCTTTTCCTAAATATGTATATGTACATACTTGTATATACAAAAATTTCAATAAATAAAATTAGAATATTAAAAAATCTGTCTTTCATAGCAATATTCTATAGATTTCGTTAAAATAAGTGTAGTATGAGTGTTCTAAAAGTCGACAAGTATTTGTTTTATCTGTGTGTACAAGCGTGGAAGCTATCATGCAAACAATATCGGCGATATGAACGCTGTTATTTTCCTCACTCCAGTCGAAATTCCAGCAGAAATCGCACCAAAACCTATTTCGGCGAACGTACGAACTTTCAGTTCTTTCTTCAATTGGAAGTCCAATAATGGACTTTTTAAGTCAATTTTAATTGTTTAATGAAGTTGACCCTGCTTAATACAAATACATCCACTTCTTCATATGTAATTATTGTACACATTAACACCGTAAATATTGGGCAATATTATTATATATAAATTTATCCACAATGACCTATATATACATATGCGTATAGTATAACACTGATGCTGTTGATTAACGGAATTGCTCAGCTGACTGACTGTTTGATTGTCACAGTGACCGGACAAATTGCTGCTCGTTTGTTAATATATATATTTATATATTAATATAAACACAAACACATTCATACAATCACAAATATGGGTATGAGTATGTGTGTGTGTTTGGTTTTGCGTAAATTCACTTCACGTATTTCATTTTCACGCGTTGATGACATTTTACAGGTGTAGCAAGGACATTTATGCAATTCATTGCTTTTTGTTGTACTATTATAACAACAAATTGTGGCAAATTGCATATACAAGTCATTATTATAACTCTCACACACACACATATTTATATAAGCAAATGTCAGCCTGGCGTAATGAACAATTAAAAACGAAATAGCATGAATTGAGCAAAGTTGAAAGTGAAGTGTAGTGTGTGTGTGTGTGAATGTAGGTAGAAGAATAAGAATAAGCGCTTAACAGTCTTTGGTGGTATCTCAATGCGTTTCTGGAGCTTTGCGTGAAAGTTCTTGATAATTCGTCAAGACTACGGGCGATTTCGTTACATTGCAAAATTAATGCGCTGCTCAACTAATGGAAGAAAAGCGAGGCATGTAACTGCACTTTTAGTGATATGTTTATATGTATTGTATTTAACGAAAGACAACAGTTAATTTCTGAAACAACGCTTTCAAATATATGGTTGTTATTGGTTCGGTACAACTGAGCTTTAGGTAAAATCAAGTTCAGTTTTCTAAAATAATTACAGTTATAGGTCGTTCAAATAAAATTGCTATTGCTGTTGGCGTGGAATAATATTATATAGTCTCAGTTTTATCGATGTGTAGGTATTTGTTCGGATATGAAATCGTTTCAGTTCCCTTGACCTCCAGTGTAAGCTCCCCTGGCGAGAATCATTTTAGTATTTCAGTACCTGAATGCATAATTTTTAAGAATCTGATACTTTCTAATTCGCTACTTGCTGGACATTTTTTCTCAGTGCCGTCATTAGTTTAGCAATGATTTTTGCGTCCGATGGTTTGATTGTAGTAGTCGCTGGCAATACTCGCGCCTGTATTTCTTTTTGAAAAAGAATAATAATCCTTATATTTTAACTCTTCATCTATAGACTAATAATTAATTAATTCAGTATTCCAAAAAGTCGGTTATTTAACTAGCCAAACCGGATTGTTAACTGCCAGAGGCATTCATATAACACGTTTCTGGGTAAGATCTAAGTTTAAGGGAAGAATTGTCTTGCTTTTCGTGTAAACTATACATACTTTTCTCCTAAATTTCCCAATATCTACCTTTAATTCCCTTTTTATTAATACTGGTCCTGAAGTTTGTTACTCTAGAAAGCTTAGAAAGTGGAATATTATATAAATCTGGAAAGTAGAGCTCCAAAAATTTCACATTGTACATATTTTCGCCTAGTATACTTGAAAAAAAAAACCTAGAGCTGTAACCCTCACAACGCTTCCATCAGCACGACATCACTTGTTTAAGCAAAAGTAAGGAGTATATGATCTACTGGGCGATTTCTAAAAGAAAAAGAAGTTCTCCAAATATTCCCTTTTCTTTTTCCAGTGATGCAGGGCTTACTGTTAAATTACTTTAAGTGGGGTTGGTGGAACAACCTTAAAAGAAATACTAGCTGGAGATATTTAGTTACTTACATAACACTTTCAAGAGGAATAAAAATCCGTTTTGAACTCATCCACAGGGGCATGGATTTTCTTGCATATGATTTTATCTTAAGGCATACGACTGCTTTCTGACTCTGGATGAAAATGAAACCGTCTGAGGATCAATTAATTTTGTAAACTGCTATACTAAGTTACTAGGTAATTGGTTCTAAATCAAATGAATCCTCTCTTTGGATTACAATTTCTAATGATTTTTGTTTAAATTTCCTTGACAACCGTCGCAAGCATCCATATAAATAATTTCGAGTCTAGTCTCGGGTTTATATTGAAAATTCTCTTGCTAGTAAGCAATTTATACTTTTCATGTAAATTTCCAATATCTACCTTCAATTCACTTTTTATCAATTCTGGACATGCAGTTTGCATATTCGAGACAACCTGACATGACATTGCCGACCTAAGTATAAATATACCAAGTGATTCTTATAAGAAAAAGGAGTTTTGATCAGTTCTACCACATAATTTCTTTAATTTTGGGAAAGATGGAACTGGACAATACATTACAGGTTATCACTAAATTGGATCACTTATCCCAAAGAGAAGCTTCGTAAAGTATATGATGATGGTTAAATGTTATAATCTTACCTATGTTAATGCCAAGACTTCAGTTAGTTGACTTTAAATATCTGTTAAAACATGTTTATCGAGTTGTTGAATGAGTTGCTCAATGAACCAATAAATCAAGGTTCTAAGTTTGCTTTACTTTGAATAATAAAAACGCCAATTTAACAAATAAGTAAAAACTCGACAAATTATTCTTTTTAATTAATTTTTATTTAAATGCTTCATATTTCTTAGGGGTTTATGTGATTCGAAGTGCTTACTAACTACAAATATTTCTCATTTATGTGATTTGTTTAATTTAACATTATCTTTTACTCGGCAAACACGCAGTATTACTTGCCATGTTCGTATTTAACTTTTTTTTTTTAATGAATTTTTGTTAAAATTTTGTTTCTGGAAGAGTCAAGTCTTGCGAGAAAACCTTCAGTGCGCGCACGTTGTGTGCTTCTTGCTTATCATCTTTCTAAGTAAGCGTTAATTTTATTAAGCGCAGCTCCTTTTAAGAAGTCTTTTACTTTCATTATATTTTTTAATTTATTATATAATGATTTACGCGTTTAGCTTTGCTTTCTGCTTTTGCGTTTATGACTTCTTTTCGGTTAAGTTATAAAGTTGCTTGGCAATCACCGACAACTCCACATCGATCGGCTTCGTGTCGTCATACAACGAGGGTGCCTCGCATAGAATCATGAATGTGCCAACCAGGGATGCGATCATGAAGAGCCATAAAAAGAGACGATCCAGTACCATGGCAACAAAACCCCAATCTTGATCTTCCTGTAAAGCAAAAGGGAAGTGATAGGTGTTACTGCGATAGAAGTTTTAGAGATGAAATTTTATTTTGGTATTATAGTATTAAGGGCTTGAGTTTGGTTTTGGAAATGTGCTTATACTTTTTGATTGTTATGTGTATTAAGTGTAAGTATATAATTAGTAGTACAAATTATACTTCCTAAGTGGCGCAAGATTTTCTACAGAGAAATTTCAAGACAAAGCACAAAACGACTGTATCATTCTCGGAGTACGACTTTTTCAATTTACTCCTACTTGTGTTCTTCCTACTTCCAAAAATCTTGCCACAAATTTCGCGACTTTTTGCTCAATTGACTTCAAAGCTCTAAGTGAGCTTGATTTTCTCAACGAATGGTGACATTTGATTTTAGCTAATGGCTTAAATGTCTGTTACAGAGGAGGTCCTATAGTTAATTTGTATTTATCTATTTTTATATAGCTAGGAAATATTGTGTCCTTTATTTTGCAGTAATTTTAGGAACCAATTTCCAACTTGGGTAGCTGAAGTTAAAATATATACATACATTAGGCATTAAATGAAAGTATAAATTTCACAGACGTTCTCTCAATGCAGTTTTATTAAAATAAAAATTTAATAATTCATATATAAATATTGCATTTACATAGGTATTTAAGTAACAAATTATAAATTAATATATCTTTTTCCGGAATAGAAAGAAAAAAGTGTGTTTCACTTTAAAAAAGGACGCTTAGCTTAAACAAAAGTGGTGAAATAAAAGTATAAATTTTGATAAAATCAAAAATGTTTAAGGTAATAATATAATCTCCGAAAAAAAGTTTCAGATCGGATTACTATAGCATATAGCTTCCATACAAACTGAACACATAATTACTAACAGAAATGCACCTGTGATACGACGACATTGACATAGTTCAGCAAATTAAAAGACAGCGGCTATACTGGCTAGGTCATGTTGTCCGGATGGACGAAAACACTCCAGCTCTGAAAGTATTCGACGCAGCAGAGGAAGAGGAAGACCTCCACTCCGTTGGAAGGGCCAAGTGGAGAAGGACCTGTCTTCACTTGGAATATCTAATTGGCGCCACGTAGCGAAAAGAAGAAACGACTGGCGCGTGGTTGTTAACTCGGCTATAATCGAAGAAGAAGGATGCATAATGGAAGGGTATTTAGCTTCGGTGCAACTGAAGTTAACGTTTTTTCTTGTTTTATCTCAAAATGTGGTTGGCAAACTCTAGTCCTTTTTTCCTATTCGATTTGGAAAACATAGGACCTTTTTTGCGACATAGTTTTTAAAACCAGACGTTTGTGTTGTTTTTGTTGTTGTTGGTAGTTTGCTTTGCATTATAGAAATTCAAACACCCAACCCAAAACTTTCGATCAACACCCGCGATAAAACTTCAGGCTTTTCAGGAGCTATTTTTCGTACAAGTCGCTCAGCGTGTATAAAAATTTTGGACTTTGGACTTCCAGCGTATTGAGTCTTGCATGTCTTGAAATATTCAAAAATCTTTCTTGCCTCTCCTAACGAATTTTAATATTTTTCACATATTTTTTGATGCGTTACTCCCCTCTTCCCATCTTCTACAATTAAGATCCGATTCTCTTCAGTTTTTCGTATTTTTTACTAAGAACAGAAATTCCGTTACATCTTTACAGAAATTCCTTTAATAAATATAAATCTGTAGTAAAACTCAGTTGGCAAAGGTGCTCCGAAGCCGAAAAAGCCCACCTCAAAATCAATTTTATGTTGTTTTCTATAGTTTTCTTCGATTATCGAGGTGTGATTCACTCCGTATTCCTTCCGACCGGTCAAACTGTGAACAACAAATTATATTCGAGTATTATGCTTCGTTTGCCAGAAATTATTTGTAATAAGTAAGGGAGGGCCGCTTGCAAATTGTAAGAATCAAAACCAGGGAAATACTTTAAAGTGTAAAACCAATCATGTAGAGTAAAGTCAGCCGTCAGCATCTATCTACTTTAGTCAAAAAGATACACTGTTATGCGTAAAACAAGCTCCTTCAATTTCATTGAGATAACTCAAATATTGGCTGATATATTCGTCATAAAGTTACCTGGAATTTCGAATCTTTATATTAAGTATATATAAGTCCGACTCAACATATTTTTGACATGCAGACATTGACCGACATTTGCGAACAAAAGTTAACTATAGGTACTGGAGCCCACATACTCGGTACCTAGGGTCTTGAACAGTTTAGCTTGGATTTGAACAATTTTTTGTCATAGGGTTGCACACACTAAAGTCAAAGTTTAATTTCATAATATTAATTGCTTCTTAGACTTAACAAGTAAAAGAATCAAATGGAATTTAAAATTTTGCTATATGGGAAGTAGATGTGCTTGTTGTCCGATTTGGTCCATTTTTACAATGTGATATAAGAATGTAAGAAGAATGCCACGTAATAAATTTTGTCGAAATCGGTTGGTCGAATCCCAAGATATGGGATTTAGCCAAACTGTGGGCGGTGCCATGCCCATCGTCTAATTTTCACACCGGCTCCATTAAAGCTTTCTAATATAATTTCGGTTCGGTTTTTAACAGTACTATTATATGGGGCGTGAGCGGGTTTATCATCCGATTCCATTCATTTTCACACTGTCGGTAGAAGCTTTTATCAGATCTGTACTCAGAAAATTTAGTTGTTGTAGCTTAAGTGATTTAGGAACACACATACCAAGTTTCATCCAGATATGACAATTTTAGGCGACCTCAAAGGACCGCTCCGAGGAAAGCGTTTTGAGCCCATTGAAAGATTAAACATGAAACGCTACCCGCACGGAAGGCTGTTTCGAACATTGGTAAAAACGTTGGCACAAGTCTATTGGGACCAAGGGGAATTACTTTGGTTTCGAAGAATAAATTAAAAATTTTAAAAATATAAGCAAAGTTTTACTATTTTTTGCTCAGAGGTACATTTTGATAGGGATAACGGTTTGTCTGTTGAAATCATGCTTAGAGTTTTTTCTCTCTAATTTGTTGAAAAAATGGAAAACAAGAAAAGAGGTGAAAAGAACACAGAGTCACACAACCAACATTATTAACTAGAACACATACACCAAATTAACAAGCAGCTGAATCAGGAACAAAGAACATTCTCCTAACAACAGTCTTTTTCAACTACACTTTCTTAATTATCCGCTGGACAAACACTGAGTAAACCACAATGATTTTCAATTAATTTGAAAAACATATTCCTCTACCGCTATCTCTCAAACTCTACTAAATAACCCACTCAAAAGAGAATTGGTTACAAAAGCACATTTGCTTTATCGCGTAAACTTTTTAGACTACTCATGGCAAACTTTTCACTGTCTTTTCGCGCGAAGTCTGCGATTGAATTGCGTCTTCTCATAATCCAGGGATTTGCAGAAGTTATCAGCAGAATGCTAGCGGCCGTTCATCTTTCAATCATCGAAATCAATTGCCAAATGATCGATGTAAACCGCAAAAGTTGGTTATCGCTTGTTGTTATTGTTGTGTGGTAGCGATTGACCCGCTTTATTGCTTTTGCGAGGGAAAAAGTCACTGTAGTCATCAGTGGTTGTTGTTGTTGCTGCAAAAGAAGCGCCACAGCTAAAGCATTGTGGGTTGATGGCCCTCATAAGTGCATACTTCTGTCTGTTGCTGTGTGGGCAGACACATACACGCACCCGCACACACACATACGAATACATATGTGTTTAGCGAATATTTATTCTCTTGACTGTAACAGCACAACATTGCCGAAATCCACTTTTAATTACTTTTGTGCAATTGACTGCCAGCGACCAACCGAACAGCAACAACAGCAACAACAACAACAACAAATCCACCAACTCTGACCAAAGAAACCGCTACAATCGGTGGCTCGGATTTTTTGTTTGTTTTGTTTTATTTTTATTGGTGAATTGGCGGTTATTTACTGTCGCTGTTGCTGCAGCCGCCAACATATTTATTTTTGTTTGTTTCGATTTGTTGTTGCATATCTGACTGACATGTGCAGAAGTTCAATCAACATCAAACGGACGCGATGCGGCAAGGCTTAACTTTGTTGCCGCTTCGCTTGTTGGCGGCTCAGCATATGAGTGTCCGTGTGAGTGTGTGTGACTTTGACTTATAACCTTATGCGTTGTTGTGTTTTATATGAGATAAATCCACGCTTATTTGAAGGATTGCTGACAGTTCTAAATGAAAGTTATTGACGACTTGCGACTAAATCGTTCCGTTCTTCTACTCGTTCCGTCAACTGACGAATTGATTTTAAGGGAGATCTCTGTAATAATTGAGTTATTGGGAAAATACGAAACGTTGTACGTATGGATTGTGCTTTGATAATTTTAATTTGGGCTTTACTAATATGGTATCCTAAAACTTATTCTTTAATACAAAAAAGCCTTAGATGAGTTAGGCAATGGACATTGCTTGAGTTCCGAAAGACAGATGGATCTACGCCTATTGCCTTTAGTGAATGTCCTATCATGAGATCAGAACACCTTTAACCGAATGCAAAGTTGGCAGTGTAAACTATTGACCGAGTGGCCAGGAAGCCTAACTTAAAGCTTTTCTGGGACTAAAAAAAAAACAAAAATATTTTCACGTGTTCCTTATTATCGCCTTAAAAATACGCTTTCGGTGAATTTTTGTTTCTTTTCTCGGGTTCGGCTTAGTTTTGTAGCCCCATTTTTTGGATTGTTGGGTAGTTTCGCCGTCATATTCATAAACCTACGTCGCGTCCCCAGTAAGGCTATTTGGATGAATGTATGGTCCGTTTAAAGTTTTACGCATCTCTTTAGCGACCTCTCATTGCTGTCGTTTTTGCAAAAGATTCAGATGATTGGGTCTAGGTTTAGCAGTAACACGTTATATCCAAAACATTAACCAAAATGTATTGTGTTGATCTATAAGAGGTGTTTAGATCCACTGCTTCCTTTAATGATGATGATGAACCACTCTCGAGAAAAGTTGTCCGTAACTTCACAGTATTTATTGAATGCTTTCTGCGCTTCGTACATTTGAGTTTGTGCAATATTTCCAAGGATTCTGTTGCCATGATTCAGTTGAAAAAAAAAGACTCTTTTTGCGCTCTTGGCAAATCTCAGTCGAACGCGATCTTTATGACCTTCTTGGATCCCTACTTTGCCAAAATATATATCGGACCATTGTATGTAGAAAGTTAGATAATAAATGAGATTTGTACCGCGATCTAAGGCCTTTTACGCCCTTCCCTCTATAACAGCGATTCACCTAGCCCCAGCACAGTGATAAATTCCAGTATTCTGCTGGATGCTATTGAAACGATTTGATTCCTGTTTAGAAACATTAATCCAAAGAAAAGAAGAACTCGAACTCTAAATTAGCTAAACATTTAGTAATCAATACAAATTTGCACATTAGGATTATTTGCCGCCAGCTCGGTGAAATGTCGGAATGTATGCGCTCCTAAGTCTTAACCTTCCGAACGCGGGATAGTAAAAAAAAAGTGTTGAGTTATTTCTACCTTATCTTCTTCCAAACAGCTTCTGCAGATGGTATTTGGTAGGAGTCCCAGCCTTATTGCGTGGACGCCAATAAGGTAGTGTTTCGTTAAAAGCCCTAAAATTAGCGAGAAAGCAAGCAGATCACTAGATCTCTTGATCGATTTTGGGCCATACAGCTTTTGCGACAGTGCATTTACCGATGGCTTCCGCGAAACCCAGCTATTAAGTAGTAGAAACCAAGAGGATACGGGAGCATTCCATTCTACTGATAGCGATTCTAGGGTTCCTTTTCTTACTAGCTCAAAAGCTTTACAATTTACTGCGATTCCGCTATGGCCTGCCGCCCGTACCAGTCTTATCGCAAAGATAATCGATGCTATTGATAGCGAGGTTAAACACTCTTTGCCCAGCCCTAAACGCACTGTTAATGAGTTTAAGGCTAGATCACCGCTCGTTATCTGAGTGGGTGATCGTTTCTCTGAAGCAGGCTGCACTCCGGAGCAGTAAATATACTGCTACCTTAATGGCCGCAATCTCGGCCTGGAAGGCACTGCAATAGTCAGGTAGTCTGAAGCTGGAGTTGATAGAGAGCTCCTGACAGTAAATTCCTCCACCAACTTTGTTCCCAAGCTTTGACTCATTAGTAAAGAAGCTCACTGCCCCTCTCCTCCAACGGTTTCTTCTCACCCACAACTCCCTCGCTAGTATATGGGTGGAGAAGGAGCCGCCAATGTTCTTTTTGGCGACTCCAAGATCCAAGTGTTCCGGTATGAAGTCAAAGTGAGTGAGGATTTCCGAGTGTTCACCTTCCGACGATATCTACGGGCAATATTTGATGACATTAAGTGACATGGTTGGAGTGGGTCTTAGTACGCCACACAAGCTGATGAGCGAGATGATGCTCACGAGATTCTTTGCAAGTGTGGTATTTTCCAGAGCCTTTCAACATAAAGACTTCTGATAGAGTTGGTTATTTGAAATTTTGAAAACTTTAACGAGAAAAGTAGGTTTCGGTTGTAGATCTGTTTATATTTTAGACTTATAGAAAATCTTGAGGTCCCGTGTTATCGAATTATCTTGAATGCTTCACGTAAACGGCAAATTTTTGTGCTTTATTAGTTTCTTTTGTAGGTTGTTTGGTAGCAACTTTAGTTTAATTTTTGAAGTACTTTTCGATTTTACTATTACCACATAAGAAATGATAAATTCATAATCCACAAAATATTCGAAGCTATAATGATACCCATAATGATGGTGGTCACTAAACCTCATTATAATTATTAATGTAAGCTTTCAAGCTTTTAGGAAGCTAAACTGTTTATCGCCGCTAGACAAGAAGCTGGAAAGGAAACTCGATTATGTAGGCATATTTGTGCCTCTAAATATAATATGTGAATCACTGGGCAAAGAGCAAATGGCAAGCGCAATGAACCGGGTAATGTCGGTATTGAAATATGTGCTATTAGTTAAAGTGGGAGCAAAATGTTGAGTTTTTAACACAAGTTGCAAAACGGAAAAGTTAAACAATTACAACAAAAACGATACCAGAAAATACAAGTAAATACAGAATGGACCAAAACAAAAACAAATTTGTATCAATATTTGCAGCACAGCGCTGTATTGATTACTGTGAGTAATGACTGTACACAATCGAGCGTGAAATTAAAATTTTTTAAATAATAGCGAAATTTACCGAAAACCGCATCTGCAGTATTCTGTGCATAAACATCACTATATGCATTGACTTATATAGTGAAAGTTTAAAAATTAAGAAAGCTATATACACATACTATACGAAGTGAATACTTAGGCATTATTCCGAATTTTGGTAAGATCTAAAAATTCATTATTATTATTTCATTGTGTCTTTGGTAAAAAGCTAAACTAACAGACTATTAACTCGTTTAGACACGGACTTCGGTTGAACTCTCTGAACTCTGTGACTACGTTGGAAACCTGAACATATTTAGACCCTAGCCCGCCTTAAAATACATTCTTCTGGCATCATAATATAGATGTAGGATATGAAATGAGTCACACTTTATTCTAAGCAATTTTAAAAGCACTAGGTATTTCAAAAAGGCCTGTGATAACTATTGCTTTGGACTTTTTACTGAGATAACCTTGACTCCATGATTGTGACTACCTTCCGGGAGTTGGATAGGGAATTTGAGTGGATGCGAAGATGAGAGGAAAGAAAAAGAGCATGTGACAACCGTTACGTTGGTTACTGAGATAACTTTGGATGTGTGTACAGTGGAGTTGAGTGCATAAGAAGATGAAAGCAAAGAAAAGTCGGTAACGATTTCAAAATCAAGGTCTATATGGTAATACTCAATACCCAGCCGGAAGAGAAAATGTAAGGACTGCAATCTCAATTAAAGCACTTATCCCCCTTGTATGTGATATATAGATTTTCGAACTTCCATGTGACTTTATTTGTTTTTCTTAAAACGGTGCACTGTTGTTGTAAGAATGAACAAAATCGGGTGATACCTCGCCTTAGACCCCATATACCTAACATGCTTTATGTACCTGTTGGTGCTTTCCTGGCTTTAATCCTTGCCAATTGCAAGAGTATGAAACGTTCGGTTATTCCCGAACTTAGCGCCTCCTTACTTCTTTTGTTTTATTTTTGTTTTTTGTATTAGGCTTTATTTAAATATTTGTTGACCAAATGCATGGAATGACGTCCAGATTTATTGATTCCTGCTATATCCTACTATCGCAAAGGAATTCGAAACAGGAAGAGATTTAAAGGTCTTGAATTTACCATGCATTAATCCTTGGTATAGAATATTGACAAATGAAAGAGGAAATATGTGATTGACTAGAGCAGGAGGGTAGGAGCGCAGATATTGCAGGGTTAAAAAAAGGTTAACTTGTTTTAGAAGCTATTTTGAGTCACATTAGAGGTAAATATTTTATCCAAGGTCTGTGAATCTCTAAGAGAAGATGATACGTGCTCGCGAAGAAATCATTAGGGTTTGAATGAGATCGCATATGAAAGGAGTATAATCGTATTGTTTATGACGCCTTTACAAAGTTGTGTCGTGGTTGAAAAAAGCAAATGAGGAAGTATGGAAATCTAATTGATTTGTTTGTATAAATTCAACAGAGCTGATATGATCTTTTGATTCAACCAATGCGGACACTTTCAAAAGTCTCTGAATCTGTAAGCCGAAAACTCTTTATGATAGACATAGCTGTATATCTGTGCAGTCATAGATTTTACTTAAATACATGTTTTCAATAGTCTGCGGCATTCATCACTCCTGATATAAATAAGAAATGATTCAAATGGAATCATATATTTAAAAAATATATTTGCATACGGATGTAATACATAAACTTTTAATAGCAATGCGAGTATATATAGCATAATATACAGTACATATAGTATGTATTCACTTACCGCATTGAATTCATCCTGTCGCTGCATGTGGTGCTGTATGAACATTACATTGTGAATGGCCTTTTCCAGTTCGAATGGATATTTTTTGCGCTGCGCCACATCGCTGAGTGAATCGTCTAGGCCGGAGAGTACCGACGGTAAGCCATTGTAACCACTGAGCGTACTTAAGCCGCCACCCAAAGCGCCTACCAGACCGCTGAAGCTGTTGCCCCGAATCAAAAAGAAGCAAAGTGGAAGAGGACACAGACACAAACAGAATGATAAGTAAAATCCTTATATGTATGTAAAGAAGTATTAAATAGGTAAACTGCAAACTCTGTCAATAAAATCAATTACCGATTGGTTGCGCTAGTGGCATGTAGTCCATTGCAACCGCCACCGCCTAAGCCGGCCATACGCCCCTGCATGCGTCGCAACGAATCCGGACTGGAACTGCCTGAGTTCATTTGCATCTCATCCATGAGCGCCTTGCCGAATTTAGTCTTACTAAATTTGGTGCCATAATTAATTTTACTAGCCGCTAAATCGCGTAGCAAATCTTTTGGCACACGCATTAGCAATAATTTCGGCAGCCGTTTAATGAAGAAGGCGCGCACCCACGGTGCCATCTTATGTGTGCTCGGCTTGCGGTAATGTATATTGAGTATGATAATCGTGATGACGACACTCAGCCCCACCAAAAGCATAGTGAAGAGTAGATATTTGCCAAGCAGCGGTAAGGCCAGCGATGTAGACGGTATAATTTCCGAAATTAGCAGGAAGAACATTGTCTGCGATAGTAGAATGCTTATGCAGAGCGCGATTTTCTCACCAGAATCGGCGGGTAAGTAGAATACGAGCACGGATAAGTAGGAGATACCGACGCAAGGTATAATGAGATTGACGGTATAGAAGAGTGTCTTACGACGCAGTGTAATGTTGAAGAAAATATCTGCAAGTATTTTACAAGTTTTGTTATTAAAATCATGAAAAAGAATACTAAGAGAGACAAAAGTGCGTTTTCATAATTTAACCTAACTAACCTAAAATTTGAGTGGTAAGTAAGAGTATAGGTTAGATTTATAAGTGCGCTTAAAGGATCTTAAGAAATAGTGGTGAATTACAGAATCACATAGAGGACGCTATGGGTTTTTTTCACCCAATCACCCGTTTACCACCACCAGGGGCGTGGCAAGCCGCTAGACTTCATCATGGTCGATTTTGCGCTGCACACAGTTGTCAACCTTTTTGTGACATCCAACGGCCGGAGTATGTAAGCTAGATGTGTCGAACAATATTGGAGCATTGAGCATAGTTGGACTCTACTTTATAAGAGACACCAATTGCTTGAAGAAGTGAGTAGCAATCAACAAAACACAACACAGCTGGAGCGGGTGTCTTGCAACTAGTGGACTCTATGGACTGAGACATACACAAGTAGAAATACAGTTCATAAAACGCGTTAATGAAGTGATTTCTGGAAGTGGTTATCTCCGAGGAAAATGTTCAATTTTGGAGCCTTAGAAACCCCATTACTTCGGTTGGGAAAGCAAGCGGTTAGCTTTAAGAGAGATGTTGGAAGTGTCTGAGATCATCAAAAATCCAAAGATAGAAAGAGTGAAGATAAAGTACCCAATATTTTCAATGTCTAGGAAGTGTAACTCTGCTAAGAATAAAATGGAAAGTTCTCGAAAGCAATCTGGGATGAAACTCATTTGAAGGGTTATCGAATATACAGTACATAGACGTATAATATGAAGTTGGAAAAATAAGAAAAATTGGCGGTTTTAATAAATTAATTCCGGCAATTGCGATGTAAAAGTTCGTCAATGTTCTAGCAGGCCAGTTGTCGAAGTCAGACCGTTATGTAAGCAAATTGAACAAAACCCGTTTAAAACCACCTAAGCCTGGACACAACACGAGGTTCGTATATGCGATACGACTTAAGGCATAAAGAGAACGTTAAGGGGATGCGTTCATTTTCTACCTGAGGAGATTCCTCAAAAGTTGGTCACTAAGGCAGGATTGACGGTCTGGACCTTCAGACTTTGTTATGAGTTTGGTACGATTGGCTCCTGTCTATGTCTATCTACTATCACCTGCACCTGCTGAATAGCCTTGCGGAAAGAAACCAGGTACACCTGATCTCTACAACCTGAAAAGGTTCAAAATCGTAATAAACCTCCCCATGAGCAAACTTAGGCTATTTGTCGCATGGTATACTGGCCACTGTAAGCTAAATAGGCATCTTCTCAGCATGGGCCTATCAGCTTGCGCCAACTGCCGTTTCTGCGACAGGGAGCCCGAAACTCCGGAGCATCTGATGATCGACTGCACAGCAGTCTGTAGACGCAGAGCTAAGGCCCTTGGAGTGTTGTTTCCGGATAGGGATCGCATTGCCTCGCTAGCGTCAAGTAGTAGTCTACTGGACCTCATTAATGGGCTGAGTCTAAGCGAGTCAATGTGAGTAAGGAGAGGGCACAATAGACCAAAGGTCGCAGTGCATTCCTCATCATTATTCATTCATTCATTATTCTTCACCTGCACTGCCACGACAAAAGTCTTATTTTGGACATGTAATTTCAAATATTGACCGTTTGAATTAAGCAATTGCTTAGATTGCTTACGGTACGGCCAGCTTAGAAGAGAAATTATATTGTATTAGGACAACGCAAGACCGCACACATCGATAGTGACTCACCAGAAGCTTCCACAGCTTGGTTACGAGGTTATATATGAATTCAGCTTATATTTCATTCTGAGGCGAAGTGATTACTACATACTTATCTATGGCAAATGATTTGCTGAGCCTGAGCCAGAGAGATTGATGGGTGCCTCTTCTTATTTAAACGGAGTATGGCACTGACCTTCTAAGTAAGTTGGACATTCGGGAGGAAAATTTTCAAAAATTTGGAAATATCTTATATAATATTTTTGTTGGATGAATAGGTACATTAGTCAAAGACTGAAATATATAAAAGCTGACAAAGTCCGATAAATTTAACAAAATAATGGGATCAAACTATAAAAAGTTCTGATATAGTATTTAAATGCGAGCAGGTTGGACTCGTTACGTGATCGTTAAAAAAATTGTATAATGTGCAACTGTAAATGGTTGATTGAAAAGGAAGGCGCATTAGTGCCGGACTACTGGCGGCAGCAATTAGGCCCTCATAACCCCGTTTACGTACCGGGTGGTCCTGCAACTCATGGAATCGTGGAATATGTCTTTTCTCATCCGGCTGAAGACTGAGCATTCGTATAGATAATATAATCCTTACTCTCCGGTCACCCTTGCATTTTACCGAATCTATGTTTCCTACTTTCTGAAGTTATGATCTTAAGGTTAGGTGCCCTTTAATAACCAATACGATGTTACTAAGCTTCTTTTTGCCCAGCAGTAGGAGCTTTTTAGTCTGTCCACCATCAACACTCCCCCAATGCAAGTTTATGGTGTACCCTTTGTTGCTTGTGGTCCAAGAATGGATATGTTTCTCTATGATAGGGTCCATTGTTTCAAAAAAATCTTGAATCCGCTGAAAGGCCTGGGACAGCTTAGCGGAATTGTGTCTTCTGCCTTTTCATTTCCTTCAATATGACCAGGTACCTAGATGATATTAAGCGAGTACCTACTGAGTTTAGTTATATTCTCTTATTATATATTGATGTACACACCGCTTATGTGGTTATATCCTGCTTGCATAAAATAACGCAATAATTCTTAGTATTGGATCTATGGATAGCCTTAATTGCCACTTGGCTCTCCACAAGAAGGTTTATGAACTTGTTGGTTAGAGCAGCAGCCCACTTGGCACCTACTGTTGTACCCACAAGTTCGACCTCAAAGACTGAATTGTAGTCATATAGTTTGCAGCTGCCTTATGTGTATATATTACTACAAAAGAAGCCTGCTCTTGTTCCTCTTGCATCGGTAAATAATTTGAATTTCATATTGTCTCCTATTGCAAATAAGATTTCTCTAATAATCGCACAAGAAGATGCTTTTCTCTCAGTGTAGTACATGAAAAATTACCACATCTCAACAACGATTACAAAATCTAGGCATTGAAAAAACCAACTAGAGACTCATAAACAATTTATACCGTACCGCTGGAAATTACATTCCAAAGGCAGGCTGTTTGACAGGCGTGTATTATTGAAAACCAAAGCGAAGGGAGCAAGCAACGCAAATAAAGGAATGAAAAAGGTGAAAGTACAAAGAAAAAATATTAAGAAATAAAACAATAGGTATACGAAATGTACGCTACCGTTAATCGGTTTAGCTTTAGCCGAATTGAATTTTGAAATGAAATGAAATAATCAACGAGAGACTCATAAATCTTGGCTGCCGCCTTTGCCGCCTGTGATTGCTGCCTTTGTACTATAATTTCTGCACATATTTGTATTTTTTGCTTTGGTTTTGGTTTTTGTTGCGTTTTGCTTATTTTTGTTGTATTTGTTATTATCCTTATTTCTGATTTATGATGTGTTAGACTTTTGAGGCTTATAAATTGCAAGCGCTTGCTATGTGCTATGTTGCTTTTGTCGGCAGCGCTTATGTGTGCGTAAATGCTGCTTACATACATACATATATCTGCAGTAGTAGTGTGGAGTGTGTGCCTTTGCTGGTGTGCGTGCTGGGCGCGTTTTGGCCATGTTGACAGTTTGATTACACTTTGCATGCAAAATAATAAAGTCTTAGACAGCCATGCGTTGTAGCGTACTGGGAGTATTTGTCAGCAGACACCACTCCCATACTTTCACATACATACACATATAAAGACACAGTTATATGAAATAAATGCATATATCCTCTCATTTGTGCTCTAAAAGCTGTCACACACGCCCTGCATATGTGCGTGTGGTTATGTTTGCATGTGTGTGTTCAACTGTATAGAAATATTTAAAAGTTTCATAAATGTTTTAGGACATTGTTATAGAATTTTACTGTTAATTTAACATTTCGGTTCTTTGAAATGGAAAATGCTGCGCAAAATTCCTACAGGACTCCGTATTTATCAGCACACACACACGCATGTACATGCGCATTTTTCCATATAATCCAATTGGAATATCTGCATATAAGTAATTGGTGTGTATACAAACACACACTCATACAAACAGCAGTTTGCTGATATTTATTTGTCTGCAAAATCGAAAATTCCCCATAGTATCTTGCTCGATTTCAATTCATAGCGCAGTGCCGTTGTAGGCTTTTTGTGTTGGTTTGGGACTTGAAAGACCGAACACGTTGCCGAGTATACTCTCAAGCCAACAAAAGCACAATAAATTAAGTTAAATACTGAAAAATGAATTAATTTCGGGATTAAGGCAAAATAACCATGCCTCGGTTAGGAGATAAATGTGTGGAAATTAAGTGGCTACAGTCGGACTATTTGATAAAGAATTGATTAGAGTAATGATTACATTATTATTGCACTCAAAGTGTGTAAAAAAAGGAAGAAAAAGGAACTGCAGTTGAATATGGAATTTTATGATAGCAGTATTTCCACATGTGTATACTTATTGTGCCGTTGACAGTTGGTGATTACAAGTAATATACAGAAATATGAGGATATACCCGAAAATTGGTTCGTAGTACATACTTCAGAAAAATGCCTATGTCAGTATTATAGGTCAAAACAGCGCGTTGATCAGCGCCAAAAATAATTCCTATTTTTTGCAAGTATTATTTGCTTTCATAGATGGAAGTTACACCTTTGCTCACCACCTTGCTCGGTTTCGAAGCCGATCTGAAGCCTCTGTCGTGTTGGTGGTCCGGCATGCGGAGTGCGCTGAATTGAATTTTAAATTTCTACCTGCCTTTAGGTTTAAACCACAGCCACCACGGGAAGTTCGACTAACTGCTCCCAGTGCTACCAGATTTAATTCTCCGGTCGGACCAGGTAGCTTTTGCTACGTCCAGTTGAGCTTCCATAAAACCCAATGACTGCTGACATTTGCCGCTTGAACTGCAAATGTCTTTTCATTAAAAGTAATCATATTCAAAGTCTGTAATATCAGTTGAAGCTGTGTTTTGCTGAAATTTCGAGGTAAGCCAAAAACACAGATATAATGCATATTAGATTTTAGTCTTCTCTTACGACGTGCATACTTTACCGCGGGCAAATTCTATCTCCCGCCAGCTGGAGGAGTAAATTTGACGGTCGGTTAATTAGCTTGTGAATTTTTTTATTTTGAGTGAAGTAAAAAATCGTCGAAAAACGGTCGCATTGGAAGTAAAAGAAAGTGAAGAAATGAATTGAGCATTAAATTGTCTTAACATTCTTCGTAGCCTCTAGATCTGGCCCCAGCGACTATTTGCTGTTTTCAGATCTCCAAAAAATGTTCGCTGGGAAAAAATTTTCGCCGAATAAAGAAATTGTCGTCAAAACTGAGACCTTTTAGGGTCCCTTGAAGGGAACTACATATGCTGAAAAAAAAGTTAGCTTAAAAATGTTTTTAAAATGGTAAGCCGGGGTCTTTTCAATTGGCCTCTTATAAAACCAAAAATATACTTATTATGCATTATCTGCTTGGTAATTCTTGTGTTTTTTGTTGATATTTTTGTACCATAGTCCCCCTTCCGAGACATTAAGGTACATTCTTTTAACAACACAAACGTCGTTATAACGCCTAAACCAATAAGCATGATATGGGATACTTTTTGAATTTCTTTTTTTGAATAGATTGACGTGATCTCGCGTTTTTCCCTTGAAAAAGCAGAACCCTATGTAACTTGCTCTCTTTTGTCTTTTCCTTTTCCTTCTCTCTCTTATTTTTGTTGTTCTTATGGCACAGAATATTTCTCTAACAATTAGAAGGAATTTTGTCGAGCTTTGCTTTATATTAATTCGAGGTCGTAGTTTTGGAAATATGAGAGCGTCAGAATTTTTTTAGACACTATTCCATAAGTGAAAAACTTTTCTGGTTTCTCGGCGAAAACTGCGACAAGTAATTTTCACAGGCTTCTCTTGAAGCCAACTTTACTCCATTACGGGAGTTCTGCCTTGACCGAAACAAATAATAGTCCGATGGTGCAAGGTCGAGGCTATATGGTGGATGCATCAAAATTTCCCAGCCAAGCTATCGCAGTTTTTGCCGAGTCATAAAAACGTATGTGGTCTAGCGTTGGTCTGATGGAAGACGAAGCCCTTTGTGCTGATCTATTCTGGACCTTTTTTTCGATTGCTTACTTCAATCTTATCATCGTTCGACCAGGCTGGAATAGCTCGTGGTGGATGATTTTTTTCCAATCCCACTAATCACTCAGAATAACCTTTCGAGACGTCATTCCTTGCTTTGGACATGCGCACATTGTTGTCGTTCCCTATTACCGTTAGCATAAGAAATCGTTCGATTTCATTTTGTTTCAGCAAAGAATATTAGTTTGGTCCATTAAATTTTTCACAGACAAGACATCGAGCTTCTTTTTGTAGGCAGGCTTTTTTAAATGGTTCAAAACCGTTTGATGATGAATGTTAAGTTCCTAACCGATGTCATGGCTGCTTATATGACGGTGCTGGTCAATCTTTTCCATAATTTCATCGACTTTTTCAACCATAGGTCGACCAAAGCGAGGTACATATTTCACATCGAAATTTCCAGAACGGAAGCGAGCGAATCATTGTTGGGTTACACGAACTGATACAGTGTCGCGTCCGTAAGCTTCACAAATGTCATTGGGAACTTACGTGGCATTCTTCCCATTTTTATAAAAAAAATTAAAAATAAGGGCGAATTTTTTCAGTATTTTCATGCATTTTTAAACAGCTGTTTTCAACTTCTGCGAATTTAGTTTTTTAACTTAAATGAAGCCTAAAATCTCACCTTTTCAATGTCATACCACAGACACAATGTGATTGGTAGCACTGGAGATATACAACTGAAACGCCATCTACCGAAAAAATACGAAAATATTTTTCGACTACACAATAATAATTTGGATTTCTTACTTCACCCTGAAGTAAAGATTTTTAGCAAATACCGAAGCCGCCGTTTTGTCAAAAATCTAAATTTTGATTAGTTAAAAAGTTATTATTAGTTATTATTATCAGCATTTATCTTTTTTATAGTTTTTGGGTTATTTTGATTTGAAATAATTTTGAGCAGGAAAATCTTTCTTACAGACACTCATATTTTTTCAAAGGTCTTCTTGGAGATTAGCTACGGGATCATAGGAATTCAAAAGTTTTAAGAACGAACTACTGATTAGCGAAGTACATTAAATTTTGTAAAGGTTCTTAGCTGAATTGAGAAAAATCTCTAAAACTACAAAATATGGATATTTTTATTCTTCCTAGAATTTCGAAGAGCCTTTACAATAAAGTTCAGTTCTGTCATTTACCAACTGACATTCCAAGAACGTTTAACATATTTATTGTATATTTTTTTAATTACCTGGATATGGTTCAGCACAGCATGGATAGTATTTCTCATGCCGTTCTGCTGGTACACCTAAAATATCCCATTCCACGCTGGGATAGTACTCACGCAAATCTATACCGATCTCGACTTTATTGTCCTTATCGTTTCGCTGATTAATGTGCTTTAAATCAATCTAAAGAAGAGAATTTTAGACAAAATATTATAAAACATTTATTTTCTATTTATTTTCTGAAAAAAAGCTTAGACAGTTATAAACTTTATTTGTAAAAAATATTTTTATAATCTATTTTTATTTGAGAATCTTGTGAAATTATAGCAATTTAGTATTCACATCTTACCTGATCACCATCATAGGTCCACGAACCGAACTTCATGAAGCATGTTTGCTGATCGAACGGAAAATAGCGAACATCGATTTCGCACGATGACTTGAAAATGGCCGGCGGCGTCCAAACAACTTTACCGGTGTAATGGAGAATAGCTTTTGTCATGGTTGTGACGACATATTCGCCGTCAGCGCTGTAGAAAAAATAATAAGTAGACGTTTGAAAAATTTTGACATTAATGAATAAGCGATCGAATTTGGATTTGGAAATAAAACTTTGCAACACCAAATTATCAAATCATTTATTTCAGTTGATAACAAAATTACACCTGTTTTCTGGGCCTAGCTTTTATAGCAATTTCAGGATGGACCCAATCACCTTAGAAGTTTATGTGCTAGGACGAACAGTCAGCCAGTATATAGAACTTTTCTATAGCCTTCAAGTTCAGACATTTCAGCTGGAGAGCTTTTAATGCAGTAATAGTTGATCAGTCGAAATAGTCGAAAGAAGTTTTAGTATTAGGCGTCATGGCTGGTGCTGGTAGTTACCTCGTGTGATTATTCACATGTGACGGTGAAATTCAATAGATCTATTTTTACAGCAAATTTATTCAAACTTGGTAAATCCAGTAATCGTTGGGACATTTGAAATTAAAGTAATTGAATAAATGCTGACTAGGATTGTGGCTATACTTATTTTACTATATACTTGACTTTCAAAATGTTGTAAAATTATTCAAATTAAACATTAAATTTGACTTCGTGAAGGTTAGAAATTTGAACTATTTCATTTCCCTTTTCGGTTGGTTTAGAATTTCGTTTGAATATGAAAGCGAAAAGTGTGTTCAAGTGGAATAATTAAAAAATGAAAAGCAGTAATTGCTATTTGTGATTGCTTTGCTTAACAGGGTGGTATGAAATCTGAGTCAAAAAATGTTTTTAATATGAAAACATATTCCATAAAATATTGAGAAAATTGCTATTATTTAAAAGGAAAAAATAAGTTCATTTCAGAGTTTTTACTACTGTTGGCAATAAACAGTAAGATTTTTTAATTTCAATTTTGCATGAATACTCATTTATTGAAATAATTTTTTTTTGGGTTGGTGTAGCTGTCAGTGACATTTGACATCAAACTAATCATTAGTGTTTAGTATATGCATGTCTTTCTGAAGTACATTAGGATAATTTTAAGATGAGTAAAACTTTTAACAAAGAAATCTCCTTAAACTTTGTGTGCGGAATCAAATGTCTGGTGCCGAAATATTCAGAATGTTGGGAAAGACTTTTTATATTATTTGTCGTGAGACAGAGATTTTATTTGGCACAAATTATTCAACAAAAAATATCGGAAAAATCAGTGCAAACCATCTTGATAGATAATTTGGGTCTGAGAAATAAATAACTAACGATTGTTTCTAAAAACACTAAATTTTTTCGAAAAACAGCGGCGCATTGACGTCAGTGAAGCAATGCTTTCCGACTACAAGGATGTCAATAAACATTACCATTACCAGCGATAAGCATTGGATCTATGCTTACAACCTGGAAGAAGTGATCAATCGGCCGAATATCATGGCAAAGGTGTGCCGAAGCCGAAAAAACCACGTCAAAGCAGGTTGAAAATTACGGCTATGTTGACAGTTTTCTTTGTTTATGAAGACGTGGTACACTCTGAATTTCTTCCGATCGGTCAAACAGTTAACAAGGAATACTATTTGAGTTTTGTCATTTGCGCAATGCTTTTCGTGAAAATAAGTCGTAATTATGGGCCGACAACTCTTGGTTTTTGCACCACGGTAGCACCGTCGCATACTGCATGGATTCTTCGTGAGTTTTTTGTAAAATTTTCAACCAATATCGTGCCGCAACCCCGTTTGATTTATGTATCTCCGCGTGACTTTTGGCTATTCAACGAACTCAAAAGATCGCTCCGCGGAAACCGTTTTGAGTCAATTGAAGACGTACTGAAGGCTATTCTGAAAATTCACTTTAACAACTGTTTCAAGGATGGGAAAAAACTTTGACAGAAGTGTAATGGGGCCAAGTAGGATTACAAAGCTCCAAACCAGTGAAAAGCTTTCACACTCTTCCTATAAATATACTATATGTATACCTCTGCATGGCTTATTGACATACCAGACTAACTTAACCTAATTCAACCTTCCTGTAAAGAGTATAACGATTCCGTTGATTCCTTGATTACTAAAGCATGTTGTCTTCTCCATGAGTAACATGATATGCTGGGTACAAAGATTTTCAAGTCTCTTCCTCTTGGCCATCGCTTGATTTTTGGGTTTAAACTAAATAATAATTTACTGAGATGGAGTCGATGAAGGTTTTAATGGCTCCACTGTAGCAGCAGTCAGTGCTTGTCGGAAATTAGTTGCGTCCGTAGTCTGGTCGGAGTATTGCTTGATGTCGTCGACGTAGTTGAAGCAGCCCAGTAAGAACAGCTTGGAGAGGAATTCATAATGCTGCTTAACTGGGAGTATATGGGTCCTTGTATGCAGCTGTTCGATGGGAGACATCAAGAGGCGTCTCGTCGTAGTGCGGAGTGCGGTGTTCTGACAAGTTTAGAGTTTCCTCGTCTGCGTTCGACTGCAACCAGGCGACCATATTAATGTCGCGTAGTTAAGGACCGCCATCCGATTACCTTGCATGTTGTCAAACGTCTTTGTCCTTTCCCCATGTGAGGATTTTATTGCAGTCGTGTGAGGAGTGAAGAAGCACAGACGTTCGAAAGTCACACCTAAAATTTTAGGATTATTGATGGTTTATTGTGACTATGGTCGGTGTGCATTTAGCGGGGGGAGTGTTAAGTTCCGCACAGCGAGGAAACGAGAAAGGTCGGAGAGATAAATTTTTGCCAGATTTTAAATTTCTTCGTAATTACTGTTGATAACTGTGTCTTCCTTATCTATGCAAACGAGAGGTTATTTTTTATTTTCTCTGTGATGTATTTTTCACTTCGATTTCAGTAGTAACGATGAATTATGGACCAAGCTATCATAGTAAGATATTTTAGTAATTCCTCATTTTAGCACCCTTTGTTGTGTTTTATCAAGATTAAATATTTGCATTTGCACACTCTCAAATCAATTCTACTCTATTCAAGACTTACTTATTATAGAGCACTATATCGGGCAGCCAAATATGCTCGGATGGCACATACAACTCGGTAACACCGCCATATTCCGAGGGATCCCATTTGAATTTGTGATCCTGCCATTCGTGTTCGAGCCAAACGTTCGTCGTTAAGATTTGATCTTTCAAATTCTGCAAAGAAACAAAAATTAATTTAGTTATTTTTTTTTTATACTGTAAGTTAAATATCGACACAATGATTGCATAAAATGACTGCACGCCAAAGCAAGGTGAGCGATGGCGGTGGCGGCGTTAAAAAATATGAAAAACTAAAGTTGATTGAAAAGGCTACAAACACTTGAACATTGTGTAAAATGGTAAAATGGCTGCAGGCATTCCAAGAAACCCGATGGCAATCTCACTGAATTGCCAACTGTGCTGTTGAACGCCTGCAAGCGCCTGATTGTATGCTTTGATTTTTGCACATTTTTTGCTTTGCTTCATTTTGCATTCACCATTTCATTGCTATTTCTATTTTGATGTGCTTCATAGTATATATGTGTGTGTGAGTGAGTGTGTGTGCTGATTTTCTTTCGCTATAATTGCTGACCTTTTGTTTCAAAGGGCGCGCTTTTAATTTCGCCCGCATGTCCTTTTCCATTCATTATTGTGCAAATGAAAAGTCTAATTTCTTGACTATAAAATTTATTTCCTCGTGCAACTGAAGAGAAATGTGTACCAACCATTTTTACAATTCCTTTCCAGCCAACACTTTTGCATAGTAATTGCCTTGCCTTTTAGGTATACAGTGCTTGTGTGTGTGTGTGTCTGTTTGTGGCTGTGTCTGTCGGCTAGTTGAGTTGATTGTTTGTACCGGTGTGTAAGTGTGTGTGTGTGTGTCTATTTGACACCATCAAATTGCTGTTGAATTGGCACTTTTTCATGTCCTTTGTTGGCAATAAAAGGGTCAGACGTTGATATTATTTCGGCGCTAGTGGTGAATGAGCTGATTGACTTAAAGGTGTAAGGCAAGTTTTTAGCGCACCTTTGTGATTGCCCAGCGATGTGGTTGGGGTTGCAGCTGTGCGCGTTGAAATTGGTGTCAGCAGAGAAATGTACCCAATTTAATTTTGAAATTACTGATAATCAGATAGGCAGAGCGGCAGGCAACCGGAGCACACCAGTTACTTAGATTTTGAATACAATTAAAGGCGCCAGTGTTTCTATGTATGCGTGCCAAATGATAGTGGCTTCAATATGTTAAAAACTGTATGTATTAAAATGAAATTTTTAAAATGTTATTGAAAAAGATTTCAATGGGTCAACTGCAGTAATTAATTTGCGTTGGTATAGCGACATTTGTTGATAAAAAGTATGATGTTCACAACAAAACAGTAGAAAATCATTGGCAGTAGTTCCGAAATCTGTGTTATTTTATAGCGTAAAGGCTAAGTCCTGTTTACTTTGGAATGCACGTTGTAGAAAGCCGTTGCCGAAAATGTTGTTTCCGATCTTTAAATGATAGCATTGGCAGTAGTTCCCAAATCTATGTTAGTTTTTTTTTTTTTTTTTTTTTTTTTTTTTTTTTTTTTTTTTTTTTTTTTTTTTTTTTTTTTTTTTTTTTTTTTTTTTTTTTTTTTTTTTGGTGGCGCCATCTGTGTATATGTCGACTGGTGCGGTAGAACCTGCTATTTTTATCGATTGTCCGGTGAGAATTTTGTGACATTTCAGAGATTATAAGTGAAGTTATTGCGTTTTAAGTGTCAGTATGTTTGCGTTATCGCTGCGAAAGTGAGCTTCGAACAAAGAGCCAACATTAAATTTTGTTTTAAAATTGGAAAAACTTTTACCGAAACACTTCAATTGATGAAACAAGTTTATGGCGATGATTTTCTATTCCGTAGGAGAGTGAGGACATAAATGACGATGAACATGTGGGACAATAAAATCCGTGATCACCAAAAATTTCATCAAAACTGTGCGTGAATTCGTCAAAAATTTGCCGAAATTAGCATTGAAATTTATGGAAATGGAATTGAACATCTCCAAAACATCGATTTATCGCTATTTGACCGAACATTTGTGCTAACGAAAGATGTGTGCACGATTTGTTCCGCACAAATTGACTGACGACCAAAAATTGCTCTCATCTATCGACGCTTGTGACCGATTATTTGACCAAAAATCATATTTAACCATTAACCACTCCCCGTATTCMCCGGATATGGCACCGTGCGACTTCTTCCTTTTCGCATTTGGCCATGAAAGAAAAGCGTTATGCAGACGTAGAGGTCATTTAAAAGGCTAGCATCGGCATTCTGGCGGCCATACCGGCCAACGAGCTAAAACACTCGTTCGACATGCTTTTGGACCGTGCAAAAAACTGTTTGAACCACAAGGAAACTATTTTGCATAATATAAATAGATTTTGCCGAAAAAACCATTTGTTCTGTTTTTTTAAGTCCTAGTTACTTTGGCACATACCTTGTAGAATAGATTAGTGGTCCGTCAGTCCGGGTCATGGAAGAGAATCCAAGAAAACAGTCAACATAACCTTTATTTTTGGTCTGCCTTGACGTGGTTTTTTCGTCTTCGGCTCACTTTTACCACGATATTCGGCCAATAGATTGTCTGTTCCCGAGCCGTAAGCATGGATACAAGACTCATCGCCAGTAAAAATACGCTTCATAACAACCTGATAGTCAGAAGTCATTGTTTCACAAACATTAACGCGAAGCTGTTTTTCGAAAAAAATGAGTGGTTTTGGAACCAGTCGTACCTTAATTTTTTTTAAGCATAATAATAATCTTTCAAAATGGTTTTCGGTGATCTTTCCGATACTCTAACGATGTCAGTAAGATCTCTGTATTTCTTTGATGTTCTTTTTGAATTCAGAAAGACAAGCGTTTACTAAACACTTGTGATTATTTGGTCGTGACATTTGATACAGCTGTCACTGACAGTCATAAAAACCTAGAAGAAAAATATTCCGACGAATGAGTTTTCGCGCGAAATTAAGAGGTCTTACTATTTTTTGCTCAATTACTATATTATATAAAACAATACACCAGCTCTGCCCAACTACCCTACCTTCTCTAAATATAGACAATATGTACAAGAACACCAGAAAAAAATAAACAATGAAACACCGAATTAAAAAAGGTGTCTTGATGGTGCATAAGTCAAAGCATTGCTAAAATTAATAAGTTTACTCGAGTGCCAATCAAATAAGTGTGAAGAAAAATAGAGGGAGTTTTAATAACATGGGAAAGGGACTCCATTAGGAATAGTTCACAGCAAGTAACATTCATTCAATTGTTTAATAAAGTAGACATTCGTATGTTATCTATCGAAAAAATTTTATAAAGTAATGTTTGAAATTGTGAAGATGAACGAAGTAATAGAATCTATTTCCCTCTCAACCACTAATGAAATCTATGTCGTAACCGCATTAACGGATGGAAGAGAGATAGTCTTGGTACGTACCGTCCATTTTACAGGAATACCTGATACAAGTAGGATCGATTTTTATAGCCTTCAGATCAATATATTGGAATTGGATGAAAATATATATGCTTATTATCCAGTGCTTATCAATACAGCGATATTTATTATTATGCCATTGTTTTTCTGCTCAAGTTCCAATTATTCCTAGACTAAACAATGGGTAGTTAGAATATTTTAAAGAAATTTCTGTTTGCGAGAGTTCGACTTTATCTTTTATTCTTCATTCTGCACCAATGTAGCCTAATATTGTGATTAAATATGATACTTTTCTGTTTAAAGAAACTATCTTAAATACTTATGAAAATACACTTCCTGAAGATTAAAGAATTAAACATATATCAATGTAACAAACTTGCTCTACCCCTCCACCCAGTAATACTTACCAAATCGATCAGCTGTGATAAGCGTAGACCGAGTTTTACCAAAACCGTGTCCGTATTATTGCTAACAGGTCGTATGAGTCGATTATAGTTGCTGAGCAAGTCATCGTAGAGCCGTTTGGCATCTGGATTCGCGTGCACTTGGACAACGCTTTCGCAGAGCAATAGCAACACAATTAAAAGGCAAATAAATTTGCAATTTAGCCAAAAAATGGCTAAATTGCGTAATGACGACATTTTCTACAATTTCTTTATTTTATATGTACACTCGTTTAGTTGCATTTCTTGAGGGGTGAAAAAAAAAAGTTTTCGCGCTTAAATGTAGGCAACGATTGATTGTTACACAAAAAGCAATTCAGTGCATATTTACGGACGCTTATCGGATGTTGTCGCATGCACAGGCATATTAGATTTGCTATGGAGACGGTTGTGATGGCGGTTAACGTTTTTTTTTCACTACACCCGCCTTACGCTTTTCTTCGTGTTTTTTGTTTTTTGTTTTCTTACGATTTCTTCTTTTGTTACGTTTTACTTATTTTGTTGCTTTGGTTTTTGTGTTGGCTTTTAGTACACTTTGCTGTGACGTCCAAACAGACAAGTACTAAAAGTCCCTTTTGACACAAGCTGGGTGTAGAAACGTCAGCAAATCGAACAGCTGGATGAATACAAACGGCTCATGGAGTGACAGCGCTTAACTGTTGCTGAGAGTTTATCGCGCTGAGAGCGTGTGCTCGTGTCTAGTGTGCACCGCACGATTGGGCGTGCTCGGCGTGAGCGGTATGCAGTGTTGTTGCTATTGTTGTGATGCGCATGTTTTGTTGCTGTTTTGCTGAGTACTTGCTTCGGCCCTTATATGTGTCATTATGTTATTTGGCATTTTTTTTTTGTGATTTTAGCCTGTGTCATTGACTTGAATATTGGTGGTTGGCGGCGGTAACGCGCCTAAAAATATACTTTGTGATTTTTTCCAAATTTTTTGCTCCTAATTTAAGCGCTTTGACAACAAATTTTGGAAAAATGTTTACTTAGTAAATTAGGTACTCTGAAGGACCTTATTTTATTTCAGAAACTAATACTTGAATTATACGACTTAGTTCGTCTAACACCGTTAGAAATAAAATTATCTTTACTTTCAACACATTTTGTAACATTACTCGTTGCACTGGCTATCTTAACTGCTTTCGTGCACTTGAGGCGCGCCGTGTCATCACAGTTCTTTGCGCAAAAATATCAAAAACCATACTGAAGCACTGAGTATTGTTTTTGTAGCGTTGCTGGCATTGCCGCTAGAATATTGTATGCCACAATGCGGTATGAGATTTGTCGCTTCGCTTACCGAAAACAAAATTATCAACTCAGAAACGCGTGGAAGCTGTTGGATGCTGCAAAGGCGTCGCTTAGCGAGCTCGCTCTCATTTGAGTGGAACTTTTAACTGCTTGAGAGTGTGAGAGCGTGTAGATTTCACATACTAATAACGCAGCCAGTCTTATTCATGCTCAACGTTTTAAGTTTCAAGTTTGTTATAGTTAATTTATTACATTTTAAGGGCGTGCTTCGCTTTACATTGTCCCCTGTATCTAATGTTTACTAACTGCTGATATCGTGTGCTATGTTGACAAACATTCATGGCTGCGAATGTATTGATTTTTTAAGCTTCCTGATATGAGGTTTGATTAAATAAATTGTGGTAATTGAAGAAAAAATAGTCGTACTTTAGTTTAGTTACTTATAAATTTGGTTTTTATTTAATTTTTATTTATTTTTATATATTTTTAATATATTTGAACTCTCATCTTCAAGTTGACGGAATCGGACTATATTTTTGAAAAACTCCAGATATCGAACAGAAGAATTTCGGTGCCTTAGGTTAATCTGAAACCACAAATTTACTGTCGTTTACTTTTGAAGAAATCTTAAAATGTTGTAAGATTTAAAAATGTGGTTAATTTTTGACAATAAACCAGTCTGTTAAAAAAGAACGAAATCAGTTTAGAATTTCTTCTAGTCCTTACTGTTTTATGGTAGTTGCCATTGAGTAGAATATATCAAGCTATTAAATTTAGTTCAAAATAATTACAATAATTAATTTTAGCTACTCTCTCTTTCTCTTTTTCGAATTACAAATTTGTGCCTCAGAGTATTAATTGCTTGTTGATATAAAAATCGCTAGTAATTACATATAGTTCTAATTCAAAATAATACTTCCAAGTATAGCATACCTTTCACACTGGTTTATTTCAATATAACGGTGTGTTCTATTCTTACATATTCCGACATTCGTTTCTAAACTCTCCGCTGATTTCATAATTGTATCTGTTGGCTGTTGTGCCTATTTTATTCTTACATATGAAGCGCGATTCTCTTTTCTGTTAACAAAATGTCAGTCCTATGAAGAAGTCTCCAAAATAACTTTTTTACAGCGTTTAACAGCACTGATAATTTTTTGAGATTTTTTCAAATTCAGACCTAATGTTATAATTCAAAGTATATATTTTTTATGTCTAGATATTGCTTTGATATGAAGCCAAAGACGCCAAAATTACCTGGTATGGTGGTATAGAACAAAATACTTTCAAGTGTGAATAATAAGTCAGCTATTTTTATAATTTTGCAACATGTTGCTCATAGTATAATATTTTTATTCACCTATGGGAACATTTGTTGTATCGCATAAACCTAATGGTAATATGAGCCCCAGCCCCTTTAGCCCCAATATACGTAATAAACATATTTTCGAGCTTCTATTACACCCGAACTCAGCCCTTCTTTACTTTTTTCAATGATAAATATGCTGACAATATTGGTATAGTCACCAGATATTTTCCAAATAAAATCGATTGAAATTTTATCGCTATTTAAGAACAAATCACACTTTTGGCGACACTACTTTGCTGTTAGGTTAGAGGGGTTTCGGCGTTAGCAGAGGTAATAATAATAAATATAAATAGAAACACCTACTCAGAGGCTCCTATCCAACTTTGGAGGTAAGTATAGTCTATATACCAGGGTAGATAATTTTTGAAAATAAAAATACCTGTAGAAGCTTGAAATTCGTTGCAAACGAGAAATAAAATAACAAAAATTCAAGTAACAGGTTGGGAAGAGCTAAGTTCGGGTTTTAACGAACATTTTATACTTTTGCAATTTGCAGGAATCATATGAAGTAAAGTCACCCGATAGTTATATATTTGTTATATGGGTTGAAGTATTCACTCAATTTTATGTATTGTGGGCAAAAGGGTGCACTTTTATCGTGATTAATACCATTTTCATAGAGATAATGTGGTATAACGTCACCTGGAACATGCTTTAACCCATTTTTGACACACAGAGGCACTATTGACAGAAAAAGATTATCTCTGAATTTCAATTATATGTCTCAAACATTGACCGATATTTTCGGTCAAAAGTAAGCTATAGATACTGGAGCCCACATACTACAAATATCGATAGTAAATTTTAACAATTTCAACTCGTTGTTGGTTCGTATATTTTTCCATGTTGAAGTTACAAACCTTACTGAAAAGAAATGTCAAAAGAACGGGGCAGAATATGGCGTCGTTTGCTGTTCCCATTGAAAAACCCATTACATACGTTTTCAGATTTAATTATCTATCCTCAAATAGACTTCACATACTATATGGAGTCGAGTCTCCAGAATACGCCTTACTCAAGCCTCTTCAGATAAAACGAGGCACACAAGTATTGATGTTCCTAATTAGATTAAGTCTGTATTCTGCTTAAATATTTTTATGGCACTGGGAATCTCCTGTTGATATACATTTTAAAACATATATTTAGTCCTTCCCTTTCTTCGAGTTTGGTGTTCGGAAATACCCCCATTAGTATTTCGCGAATAAATTATTCGATATTTTATATCTTCATATTAAAATGTAATCTTTTTGTTTTTGAGTTTCATCCGCAATTAAACGAGCTTTTCCTAGTCATCACACACCCATCCACTTGCTTGTTGATCTCAATAACACTGCGCCCACATACTGGCTGATGAACTTATACGCAAAGTTGTAAACATAAATACCATGCCTGAGTCCATAAAGATCTATGCTTTGTGATAATTTTACGTTTGTTCCTTATGTTTTCGAAACTTTTGCTCGTGAACTGCAATTAATTACATGGCGAAACTACAAATTACATAAGGCGCAAAGGCACTCCAAATGCCGTTATCAGCGCGACAAACAATAATACAACTAAATAACAATATTTACACGTGAAAAACAACAACAATAAAACAAACAAGTGCCATTCGCTGAACACTAATTGACAAGGTGTGTCATAAAAGTGACAGCCGATACCGTTGTAGCTAAGTTGTTATAACGGTAACTGCGTAAAAGTCGACAATTGCCGACGAAAAGGCCAACAAATGAAGGTTAAAAGGTAGCCGATGCAGAACCAGTGGGAGAAGCCGAAGAGGCAGTCGGAGTGGCGGAGTGGAAGGGAGGGGAAAAAAATGTAGAAGAAGCAGCGAGTGTGGTAACTATGCTGGGTATTTTGCTTGTATGTAGGTTGCCGACGCTAGTGTCGAGTGGGTGTCATGGGCAGCACGGTAGTTAAGCTGTGCGCTGAAAAGTATGCAACGAATAGTGCGTTAATAATGCGTAAGCGCCTACAAGGAAATAGCAAATTAACAAGACACATGTTGAAGCATAGGCATATAGCTGAAGAGGGTGGGCGTGGCAAACTCTGAGTAGGGTTCCAGACAAATGTGACGGGGTTGGGGTTGGGTAAAAACCGAAAAAGGCAAATCTGTAATGACTTGCAGGCTGACATAGCGCGCAATTACACACTTTTAGCGACACGTGTAAGTGTAAGTGTTTTTGTTTTTGTTTTTGTTATTGTATGCTTTTTGCATGATCAGTGTGTTGGTGTGCGTTGGTGGCACAACGAAAACTCAATTAAAATTTAAATTTTGCAACGCAACAAAGTAAATGACAAAAGTTTTGGCGTGATTGCTTGGCACAATTCTATGCAATAAGAAACAAACACAAAAGCAACAACAACAGGCAGGAAAATGTAAAATAGCCATATAAAAAAATATATATATGCAAAGCAGGAAGCGCAAAACTATCGCATAAATAAATAACTTATAAAGGTTACACACATACACATGAATATTCTTATTTGTGTGCGTGTGTGTGTAGTGTCCTGTGACCATAGCACCGCAACAGACAGTAAACCACTGGGAAAACAAGCTCTAATAATCTGCACTTTAATTGCG